TTTGAAAATACCAACTTTTCGATTCGGTGCTGTCAGTGTACACTCAAAGGATGCAAATCTTATGTCCAATATACGCGGTTTTTTATGAGTTGTCAAAAATTAGAAGCACCGGAGGTGCGTTACGCGCTAGTTCACTTTGAAGAAAGCAGCAAAAAACGATTTTGTTTTTGATAACTTTGCTGTAGTTTCCTGTTATTTTTTGCAGGGCCAAATTGCGGTCGGAATAGTCTGGACTACGTGTACAGAGACCGCCTACTCTTTTGTTACGCGTCTTCAACTTCCTGATATCCTTTCTAGTTAATCTTGAAAATCCAATCGTCAGCCTTCAACCAATTTTTAGCAATCATAGCTTTGAAATTAATGAGTTTTTCTGATGTTTGGGAGAATACGGACAATGGAGAGTACAATTCCGTTCACCAATAGTTTTTTTATGTCAACATTTTAATTTAAAAAAGACGTTTTGTTGTTCCCGCATTTAAACCATTTCTCTCTGCCGGCCTTTAGGTCCCTATTAGCGACCTCGCATTTTGTTTATTAACCTAAATCTTTTCAAAACCTATTTTTGTTTTTCCATATAATTTTTAAAAGCATAGTAAAAGCTATTTAATTTTTTTGCAATTTGCTACTAATTAATCGCAAATTGCAAAATTTAAAATAGCTTTTGCTGCTTTTAAAAAAAGCTTAAGCTAATTTCGATCAGAATAGGGTAAGGCGAGATTGCTAATAGGGGTGTAAAACCTTCCTGATAAAACTGAACTTAATGGAACAAAAATTGAGATCTCTATTGCCTATGACGTCATGAAAGAAATCATGAATCAATAGAAGCGTGATATAAAAAATTGTATTCCGATTTCTCTCTAGAAATCTTGCAATCAGTGAAACCTGAGATCGTAAATTTTTCTTTGTTCACATTACCTGGTCTTACAAACAGTGGAGGGAAACTGGTCAAAGATTTCATTATCCATCTTTTTTGCCCCCGTGAATTTCACCCACAATTTTACTTCCAATTTGATTTTCACTGTATTTTACGCCGGTCTTTTTCAAATCGCATTTTTTGTGTTCTTCAATGGTATGGTTTTGTTCGTTAATTTAAGTTCACGCTTGTAATGCTTACGAAGTCTTTGAAAATCGAATTTTTTTGTATTTAATTATTTTCGTCCATTATAATTTTTGTAGTTCAAGTTTCGTTGTAGTCATTGGCGTACCCAGGAATTTTTTTAGAGGAGCGGTGGGTGGATAGTGATAGTGGTGGGGGAGATTTTGCAGTTAATTTTTGGAAACTTTGTCAAATTTATTCTACGTCGATCAAATTAATTTTCCGATTTTCAAGAAATTGTAGACCCTATTTTGATTTTAAAAACTGTTTCGCAACTTTCTATGGCTTTTTTGGATCGTTCGACAAAAAAGTTGCGTTTTTTTGGCGTGCCCTCTTATTCCTATCTTAGGCGTCAGTAAAAAATTTTTAGGGTTCATCGGCCGAATATGGCTGTCACAAAATAAGTATTTATTGAAGAAATAGGCCAAAACTGAACGGGGGCGCTGCCACCCTCTGCACTGCATGTTACTGATTGTAGTATTTTTTTTCATGTTACTGATATAAAAATAATCAAAATGAGTTGGTTGCTCTACAAAAAATTTATAGTGACGCCATAAAGACATAAAATGTGATCAAATTGGCTAAGCAACAAATTCATTTGGACCTTGAGACCGCCAAACCGTGAAATACCTATCGATTTGGTTAAATGGTTTTTTTTTTCATCTCAGAAATTGTACTAATTTGAAGGCCTTTCAAAAGCAGAAATTTGGTGGCTCTGATAAATTGGTACCTAAATGGTAAAATTTCAGGGCTTCATTTTTGATTGTTGTTGAGCGAAGCTGAAGTCAAATAAGATTAACGCTAATCTCGGTGGTAATTTTTACCGACGTTTTTTTTTGCTCGCAACCTCTGTTGACCAGAATTCTTAAGGCTGAAAATCAGTGTGATTGAACATTATTTTTCCAAAATTTTTGATTCAAGAATCTACATTTTTAGACAACATTTCAAAATGCATTTTGAAAATAGTCCATAGCTGGGTTTCTAACGATTATAAGCACTGGATCGGCACCATTTTGTGGTTGTAAATTAACAAAAAGGTTCTAAAAAAATGTTTTGCCGTATATGGACATGATAGCTTTTTTTATTGTTTTTTTTCTGTTCGGCTATTTCTTTTTTTGAAACCCTAGAAGGAAATCAAAAAGAGCTCGATCAATTTTATTTTGATATCCTAATCCCAGCTACCAAAAAGCAGTATCCTACCATACTATCGAGAAAAAGGCCAAGGCCGCCCATCGCTCAATCACATATATCTTCAGTTTTTACCAATTGTTCCCAGTTTTTTGGTCATGAATTGCAACAGACATTTTCAGAATAGTTTTAATTAGCAGTATAACTAGTTTGATGACGATTCAATAACGACAAATTTATCTCGCTCGGTCTTATCAAAACGAATTCATTTCCTACAACAAAAATGAAGGTGAGTGAAATCATTGAAGGAAAGGATGTTTGCTATGCAAATATGGCGAGTGTGCCAATTTATCTAAGCGGAGAAAGGAAGTTATCGAGAACCATATCCCTTTCTAAATTGGAATTTTTCACTATTTCAGAACTTTTTTATCTGTGTCATAGTCCAATAAGTCCCCAATTAGTTTTAACTGCCTCCCAGCTCCCGTAGTGTAATATCTCTATCTCTTTGTGCTCGTTGAGACAGCTACTTGATAAAAAAAATTATCAGCGATAAAAAAATAATTTAAAACAGCACAATATAACGTATTTGAACTCAAAGTTTGAACTAAAACTTGAATGCGATTATACATATCTTTGAGTGTCCAAAAATACGTATCTTATGAATTCCAAATCAAATTATTTCACTCAACCACTCCAGGTCAGTTGTTTTTATTTTTTTTTGGAATTTTCTAAATTTTTAGCTTCCTAATTTTCAAACAGCAGTTTTTGTCTCAAGATTTAATCGACAACATGAGTGAGTACCTAGACCCATCCAGAATATCAAGGTTTGCATCTAGACCCATTCAGAAGAAGTGGATAAATGTAACATAAAAATGACTCTGATATTGCCGAGATTTTTGTTTTTACTGGTTTTTAGATAAAAATAAGCTTCTGTTTCGGATCATTGTGTAACGAGTTTTTTTACCCAGAGAAAAAACAGGACACTCTCTGGGATCTAAAACACATTCTGTTCATAATGGCTGATGGTTTGTCTTAGTAGGTTCAGGGGTGATAAACTTTTGGTTTTTCAACCCCCCCCCCAAAAAAAAATTGATTTAGGGGTGATAAACTTTTGGGTTTTCAGAAATTAACTCCGAGTGCAAAATAAATTGAATGTAATTTGTCAAAAAACAAAAAAAAATCAATCGATAAGGTGGCCTAAAATTTCTTAACCCCCATCAAATCGATATAGGGGTGGGGGTGATAAAATTTCGGTTTTTCAGAAATTGATATCGAGGTTAAAATAATTAAATAATTTTGATGTAAGTTGTCAAAAAAAAATCAATATATACCCAATTATGGTTCAAATTTTACGTTTTCAACGTGATGAAATAGTTATTCGGCATAAAAAATTATCTGGATATTTTTCAGTGCTTGTTTGAAATGAACATTTTACGCGGAATTAATTTTCAAAATTTTTGCATGCTTGGGCAAGACATTCTACGGTAGGTCACTTAGAGGGGGGGGGGGGATTTACAGTTGATCCCAAAAAAACTAATACTGATATTGAATTGAGTTAGCCTTGATTGATTGAGGGTTTTGTAATATAATATAAATTTTTATTGTTTTGCCTGTGATCACTTCGAGTCAATTCAAAACTTTTTTCAAATCCACTAACATTAAAAATGAATTGCTTTTAAACTTCTGAAGCTGTTTTGTTTTTTTTTCGTGCTTTTTTGTTTTCGTTTAAAAGTGTCAAAACACGCAGTAAAAATATCTAAATAGACCAGGATGATGTTTTTAGACCGACTTCTAGTATCGAAGAGGATTTCATTTTTCAAGTTTGTTAACGGAGCATTAAATCCACATATTAATCCAGGTTTCTCAGATTGGGTTAATTTTATCGAAAAAGTGTCAATCATAATTTGTTTTTGAAATCCGAAAAAATTCAAGGCCATAATTTTGAAGCCATAATTTCAAAGCCATATTTCTAAAATTGAAGTTTATTTAAAGAGCAGTTTTGTTTTGGTTTATGTGAGTCAACTTACTCATTTCCAACTCTCTGTTGGCTATGTTATAAATTGTGTTGTTTTTTTTGTTTTTTTTTTTCGGAGTCTTATAAATGCTTAAATAAACACAGAAGAGCATTAATTTTTTCAATACTTATATCAATGCGCTTACTTATATAAGCACTTTTTGAGTATAGACACAAAATGAAATTCAATTGCTCATCAGAAGGCAAAATGTGTTCTCCAACCACGAAATTGCAAATTTGCTCGCTCAAATATTATGCAACCTATAATATGGACAAGTGGATTTAAACGTTTTTGTATTCCTAGCAAAACAAAAATGTCACCTGTTGACACATTTTTCTCAATTTGCGTCAATTTTTATCAAAACAAGGCTCGATATTTTAAAAAATGTTACCGAAAATTGTTGAGCTTCAATTTAATAATCTTTTTCTTATCGTTTTGTTTAAAAATAAGGTTTTTTTTTCATTTAAAGTACATTTTTGCCTCTGAATGACGTTTTTGAAAGATTTTGAAACTGCTTTTTTGGAGATATTTATTGGCTGCGCTGGAAATTGCGGAGTTTAAAGAATTATTGGGTTGAATAAATTGCCCAAACTGTACGATAAATTTTCGATCAGTTTTATGAAAATTGCTAAATTGAAAGCAAAAGTAAAGTGCCATATCATTCGCGTTTAACAACCACTAAACTTCATTTGAAGACCAAGTTTAGCTGCATAAGCAAAAAGTTTACAAATTGGGATGAAAAAACATTAACTAAATTTCAGAGACTGCGAAGTGGGACTGCACTGAGCGCTCGGAGACTGTCGGCCACTCTATGGACCACCACCACCTCCGCCACCGGGATGCCCACGCTGGTGGGGGAGAGCAGCGAGACCCCCTCCGCCCCCCGCAAGAGCAGGTTCTCCAACACCCCGGGTGGGGACCACTCGAATAGGAAAGGCTCATTGTCCAAGAGCAGCATACTGCCTCATAATGGTAAGATAAAATTAAGATATTGTAGTTTTTTTTACAAATAATAATAATAATAATTGTAGTTCCTGCGAATCGCAGAGGAGCTATCAGTAGGCCCTAACAGTCCTGTCGAGGATAGTCCATTTGTATTATCTCCCCACATTCCAGACAGTGTTAATTTGCTGAGCGAAGCTGTTTTTCTGCGACTCAAGGCCGTTTTTTTGCGTCTAGAACTTTTACGTGGTACCTTTATTGCAGCCAAATTTGGTCAGGTTGTGGTAGACCTGAAGCTGGAGGTCAAGTGAGAGCTTGTCCTCACACACTATCATTGCCATGGCATGGGATCGAATACACGATCTGACAATTTGAAAGTGAAGGCCTTACCACTGTGCTAAGTGCCTCTAAAAGTTCTAAGTTTTGAAAAATTTAAGATTTTAAGAGCGGGGGGAAATTAGGATTTTTAAAAAATATTGACGTAAGGCTGACACGGTTTTCAAAATTAAAATAGATCAATAGTGTATGTGGTTCAAACAGAGATATTGGGTGTTATAGTACTGCTCGAAAACATTATTTGCTCACTTGTTTAGTAAATGGTCCCATCAAATCACTTAATTACTTTTAGCAATAATTGAAGATGGAATGTCAAAATCAAAAAGCTTGAGAAGTTTTAGGAAATCAAATCTACGTTTAAGTTTCCAGTTGCAAATTTGGAGCGCTGGAGATACTCGAAAATTTTGCACGAAATTTGCGCATCATGCAGCAAATATAAGCTACAAAAAATATTGGCGCATTGTTCCGACGTCCAAAAAAGGTGCCAGAATATTGCGTCTGTTTTGGTTTTTGTCAGGACATGGTTTTTAGCAAATTTTTTCTAAATACTGTTGAAAATTATTGGTTACCGCTAGGAATCCAAGTAAAAAGCTCGCTTTTTTTGTATCTATGATCACTTCGACACATTGAGCGGATTTAGGGGGGACGCCCCCTCCCAGAGGGAATTGACCCCCTGACTCCCGAAAAGTTCCCCTTTTGGTACTATTTTAAGAATTCCATTTTTTTCTGGCTTTTTGTTTCATATTACAGCCTTTCAAATGCCTCTTTTGTCAAGTTATTTCAAAAGTTTGTCTGCGGTGCAAAAAATGCTGTCAAAATAGTGTAGTCTTTATAGTATTCTGGGTTCTCGGAGCGCTCAAAAAATCAATTTAATAACCCACCCCCCCCCCCCCCCCCCCCCAGTTCCCCGCCTGAATTTTCATTAAACCTGCAAACATTCCTTACAATCTATGGGGTTTGCAAATTGCATTTTTTGTCAGCTCTCCATTAACACGTAGCATGTGCTTAGAACCATTCCGGCTCAAACTTGCAGGCCAAGTTAACATCCCCCCAAAGCTTAATTGGTTTTAAGTTAGAAAATTGCAGCCAAAAAAACTGAACAGTTTAGATGCAGCGCTTAGCAAACTTAATGCGAATTAAACGCTGGGGTGGAAGATCTTAAGTTGGTCTATCTGGGGATCTGGGGGGGGGGGGGGGGGGGGGGGGGGTGTTAACTTGATCCTAACTTTCTACCGGGTTGAATAGTAGAAAGGTATCCAAAAAATATGAATTATGCATTTTGAGATGCGAAGTAAAACAGTACCTTATACAATTGAAATTCAGCTTTTTTATCCAGTGTTGCCCAAATTAAACATTTTACTTTTGTGTTTCCTCAGTTTTTGAAAAAATAATTATTTGTTTTGAATTTAATTTTTGACATCCTCAAACTTTGTTTTTAAAACTCTTGTACTCAGAATAGTTTGTATTAATTTTTCAATGCATCCATTCAATGATATAAATTGCAGGCCGGTCTAAGAGACGAGTGGCCAAAGAACAGAACGATTCCTTCAGATTTTCAACATCAGGGAAGTTCAGATTTCCCCTTCTCTAACTGAATTCAGTGATTGTACAACAAAATATTTTTCTTCTTATGAATAAATTGCAAGCTTCATCGAGTGTTGAAGAACTTTGTTATAAAACTTAATATTTGTGATGATTTTCAGTAAAAATTTATCAGAAAAAAGTCCTAAAGTATGATCATGCCAAAACTGATTTTTTACGGTTTGAATTTTCGTTTCCGCGATAGAAGGAATGGAAACGGTGCTCCTACAATTGAAAAAATTGAAATGCGAAGTGAATGAAAAAACCGTGACTGATTTTGTTTCGAAATAAGTATTGTTATAAATTTTATCTAATTGTGCTGGTTTTATAAAAGAAGTTGATCATCACGAGGCCAAACTGTGCACTGGATAGGCGCACAATTTGGTGTCTGTAGGTAGGTGGAATCCAGAGACAATTCTTCAAGCATTTTCCAAAAACGAATTAAATTTCATTGCACAAATTCGTGAATTCAGCGTGCAAACAACTGTAACGTAAACTTTGTCGGCTAACTTGTTCTGTCACCCAAATGCAAGTGGATTTCACTCTGCAATTGTAAGCGGAATCCGCAAATTTTGAAAACAGAATCCGCAAATGTAAGCAGATTCCGCTCCGAAAATGTACGTGGATTCCGCAATTGTGTTTAATAAAGACCTAAACCCTTTCTTGCATGTGATCAAGTAACCGCTAGAGCTGAAACGACCACTTTGCAAAAGCTAATTTTAAAGCAAGGGCTTAACCATTGCCTGTGGAGTACATGAGCATATCTTAAAATATTGATAAACTAAATCGGTGGAAAATCCCATAAGTATTCGAGATAAATTTACCAGGAAGCAGTTTGTGGGATCATTTGAAAACACAATTATTGAATAAAATCGTGAGATTAGTAGGTTAGAAAAGTTTGGAAACACAAGGCACAACCCGTCACCAAGTAAGATCAATTCTAAGGATTAGTAGGTTGAAAATGATTTCCAATCCTCAGTATTTGAGATGAGATGAGAGTGAATTCAAATGTTTTTTTGTGATACCAAATCATCAGTATTTGAGATGAAAGGAGTATGACCTCAAGTAGTTTACTGATGAAACGTTTTTGGCGGTGATAGACTTCACCCCAAGTGAAAGGTTTTTGGGGGAGAGCTTAGACTATGTTGCATTTTTAAAGATTATCAAATTGATTCAAACTGTTCTGCCTTGCTCTGGTCTACTATCTCTTCTAATTTGAATTTTTAAAGATAGGAGGCTAATTTGAAACGATGTCGTTTAAATTAAATTCAGTTGAAAAGGACTGAAGATTATGATTACTTCAATTTGATCAAACGTTTGGGGGTAAGTTAGTTGGCAGGAGCTGAGATCGAAATTTGAGTTGGCAGAAATTAAAGTCGAGTTTTTGAGTTAGCGGGAGTTGAGAAATGACAGGAATTGAAGCAAGTAAGCTGGCAGGAACTGATATTGAACAGTTGTTGGTAAAACATAATCAGAAATTCAGAGTCATCTCGTTTGTGACCACCTGGTAAGAAAAGATCAAAAGAAAAGATTAAAACGCTACTATGTATGTTACTGAAATCCGCAAACAAAATGCGATTTTCGCTTGTAATTTGCGGATTCTGCTTACAATAGTGGACTAAGCAGCAGCCCAATTTTACTATACACATGTTTTTTTAATTGCATGTGCATTCCACATAATGTTTCGGATTCCGCAAATACTCTTACAAGTTCTGCAAATTCGCATGTTTTTGGAGCAATTTTGAGAAGTACAGTATTTTAGCTATTTGTTTTTTGGAATCTAAATCAGCAAAGAAGATTTAAAAAAGTAACAATCTTGCGGATTCCGCTACGGATCTGATTTTGGCTTGTTGCGGAATCCGCTTACAATTCACAAAATGCACGTAATATTTTGGCCTCGTAATATCTGAAAAGGTTTTGAAAAGATGCCTGTTTTTGGTTCTCTCGCATCGGGGTAGGAGTCTTAAATGAAAATATTTTCAAATTAGATAAACTGCTCGGAAAATGTTTTTTATACTTAAGTGCAAAAATAAGTTGGCATGAAAAAAATGCAATGTAGATTGGGCGTTTCTCAACCTTGATTTAATATTAGGTTGTGAATAACATAATTCAACAGTGAAGCGACTGTTTCAGAGAATAAGTATTCTCAACGATAACTTAAAAAAGATTTGTTAAGTATTCAGCGTTGAGCACTCCTCCGTTTAATTTGAGTATTGTTTTTACGTAGATTATTAATTTAGTGTAACTAACATTGTTTTTTGGATGTGCTAATGATCATACGATACTCTCTCAACCGAGCGAAGGCCTAGTGGAAATAAAGATCTTTCAACTTCATCAAAAACAAATTGGTCTGTTTCATAATTTTTGTTCGATTATGGATCCAACCGTGGAACTTCTAGCATTGATTTGTGGTGAATGAATGCGTTTCTGCTCTGCGGGGCGGGGGGGGGGGGGGGGGGGAGGGGGTAGATTTTTCACTTGGTCTGTTTCACAGTTTATCGTTCGTTTCATTCACCGATCCATCGGTTGATTTTCAGGAAATAGTTTGTAAGGAATGAATGTATTTTTCGTTGCGGAGTGATTTTTCACTTGGTCTGTTTCATAATTTGTCGTTGGATTATGGATCTAACGGTTGACGTTTTTCAATTGATTTGTGGTGAATGAATGTGCGTTTTTATTTTATAGTGAGTTTTGAAGTGACTGGCGACACGGCAGATGGCCCCCTGGCAGACCTCCCCCTGTGCAACTGTGACACTCTCAGCAACAGCAACATCAACTCAGATTCTAACAATATTATTCAGGAGAACAACAAGAACAACAGAAGTAAACAACATCAACAACATCATAGGCAAGGCCCCAATTCTGTTTTTGAACTACCGTTTTTTTAAGAGTCGATGGAGTAGTTCAAATGATTACGTCACAAATGGCATGATTCCCATATGGCATAAAAAGGAAAAATTTCCCAAATGGCATAAGTTTTTTGCAACAGTTGCATTAAAAAAAAGCCAGAGCAACTTTTTTGTGACAATGTGGGAAAAATTGTCAAGTTGTCAATTCAAATGTTTCATTACATTTTACCTTGAAAAAATTGTACCTTCATGTTTTCAATTTTTCCGACAAATTTGTCGCTTAACGTTTCTTTGGAAGCAATTAATTCCAATCTTGTTCGCATTTTTTCGTTCCTGACAAATTGTTAGAATTAGAAACTGATAGAAAACGTTTGAATTACAATGAAAACTTGAAATTTATGCCATTTGAGAAAAGTTTCATTTTTAGTTTCATGGGAAAAGTTCCATTTGGGAATTTACCGTTCAGACTCTTATATAAGTCGTGATGACTTTTTTTTTCAGTGGAAGTCTTACAAATTGTTCAGGCTCACTTTTACTATTTCGCGGTATGATTTTTGATTTTTTTTCAATTCAGTTTATTTCCTGTGATAAAAGGAAGGCAAACTTCACTATCGAACCGCGAAAGCGTAAAGGTCACGAAAAACGTGATTGATTTCTAATTTCAAAAAGGAAATAAATTATCGAATTTCCCAGCGAATTGAAATTTTTATCTGTTGATCCACTTTTCTCAAATTGTTGCATTAAAAAAAAGCCAGAGCAACTTTTTTGTGACAATGTGGGAAAAATTGTCAAGTTGTCAATTCGAATGTTTCATTACATTTTACCTTGAAAAAATTGTACCTTCATGTGTTCAATTTTTCCGACAAATTTGTCGCTTAACATTTCTTTGGAAGCAATTAATTCCAATCTTGTTCGCATTTTTTCGCTCCTGACAAATTGTTAGAATTAGAAACTGATAGAAAACGTTTGAATTACAATGAAAACTTGAAATTTATGCCATTTGAGAAAAGTTTCATTTTTAGTTTCATGGGAAAAGTGCCATTTGGGAATTATGCCATTTGGGAATTTACCGTTCAGACTCTTATATAAATCGTGATGACTTTTTTTTTCAGTGGAAGTCTTACAAATTGTTCAGGCTCACTTTTACTATTTCGCGGTATGATTTTTGATTTTTTTTCAATTCAGTTTATTTCCTGTGATAAAAGGAAGGCAAACTTCACTATCGAACCGCGAAAGCGTAAAGGTCACGAAAAACGTGATTGATTTCTAATTTCAAAAAGGAAATAAATTATCGAATTTCCCAGCGAATTGAAATTTTTATCTGTTGATCCACTTTTCTCAAATTGGGATAATTTTATCAGGAAAGAGTGTATCATAGTTTGTTAAAGAAATTCAAAGCGCTTTAACGCCATCTATTTTTTTGAAATTCTTAAGCTGCGTTTTTTCAAAAAAGAAATCAACTGTTTCCTTGAGCTCATTGACTCTTTTCCAACTGTCTGTTGGTTATGTTTTTCTGTAGAAACATCTTTGGGAAAAATGATTTTTCAGCCAAAAAATTGTCAAAAACTGCTGCAGTGATAAAATTGATAAAAATTAGTTTGAATTGTAAAAAACATATGCGAGACGAGAAACAGAGCACTTTTTTTGAAAAATACCAAAAAAAAATAAAATTTTTTTTTCTAGTTTTGTGTCAAGCAAAATGACCAACTTCTCGTTTTTCATAAGAATTTCACTCACTAAAGTGCATACTATCAGTATATGCTTGAAAAAGAAACTCGTCGGAAAAATTTAATTGTAAAATTTGGGGCCTGATTATAGAAGATGCTCTTTAAACCGCAACAACAGCGTCAGCAACAACAGCGCCCAAAACCAAGATGACGTCATCAAACAGCGAATGAGAGATTTAAACAGCACTGCAATTTCATCCTGCAATGACAACACATACTCGGATTTTGGTCCCGACGGCGCCAACGACAACTTCTACTCATCATTTGGGGCGAATAGCACATCTGTTAACTCGGCAGCCAATCAGAGCCAGCAGATGCAACTGAAAGCGGATCAGAACAAGCAGCAGGGTAAAAAAGGCGGAAAGAAGCAGCTAACGACTATTCCGGATATCTCGAACAGTTCCTGGAAGTCTGGAGACGACATTGTAAGTTGAGAACTCCTTGAGATTTTCAGAGACTAGCGGTGAAGTGGCTAAGCATCCGCCTACCAATCGATAAGTCGATGGTTCGAAACCCACCATAATCAATGCACTTTACTTGAAGGTTAAGATATCAATTCCTTGCACAAAATCACCAATTTAATTGCATGTAGTACTTAAACCAGGGCACAGAAGCACTGCTCTGTAAAGAAAACTGACCAATTCGTATGATGAAACGATAATTTTATGCATTCAGGTCAACACTTTATAACTAATGAGAGGAATAATGTATCGGAAACATGACCCGTATGAACACCTGATAATCAAGTTTTTTCATGCCCTAAAAAATAATTCAAGATAATTAAATTGCAGGAGATTAACGCATACTACATATCAAATAATAAAAAACTTTAATGAAGTAAGCATCCGCATCTGCCTAGGGTAAGTCACGGCGATATGCCCTTTCAATGCTTGCTATAATCATGTTGACTCTTTTTCAGTTTGACCTTTTGCGTGGGGTCGGTCTCGCCAAAGAGGTTATGGAGGGTCCCCTAATTGCCAGTCTGAACTTATGGAACTACCCAATCTTCCGACTGGAGCGACAAATTCCGAACAGAATTCTGACAGCCACTGCATTCAAAATATTTGACGACTGCTCTCTTTTCGACTACTACAAAATAGACCTGAAAAAATTTGTCAGATTTTTCTCACAACTTGAGGATGGATATTGGAGCAAAAACACATGTGCGTATTTTTTGTTCAAAATTTACAATTAGGAAACTTTCTTATTTCCTATTAACTTCACAGTTAGAAAATTATTTGAAAATCTTTCTATCTCGAGAACCTTAGGCCTGGCTCAAAGGCCGAAGCTCTTTGACAATGTAATAACGGATTGAATCTTAAGTTGACATCATGCAAAGGTCGGTGGTGTTTGTATTCTCAATTTAAAAAAAAAATTAGCGAAAAAGTGAAGATATTGCTGTATTGCTGACTCCTTGATCAGCATGTGATCCGTACTGACTTCTTGATCACTCCCTATTGTGATTATTGTTCCGACTTTCGATACGAAAGTAACGGAATATTTGTGCTCGGGGTGGGTTTTTTTTTCTTCAGACAAATTTCGACTTTTTAACTAGCCATTTTTGACGGAATTTTTTTATATCATTCAAAAAAAGTTGTTGTCCTGAGCTTAAATTTGAAAAGATATTTAACCTGTGAATATTTTTCGTAAAGTTATGTGGGTTTAAAGGTTGCCATTTTGGCTAATTTGGGACAATTAACGCGCGATATATTTCGCGCTTTTAACGCGTAAGCGGAGAGTTAATCCATCTTAGGAATTGTTCCAAATTGGTTGAAAGAAGCTTAATTGATTTGTAAGAGGAGCGAAATCTATCCTTTTGTCTTTTAGTATTCGGGGATGATTTTCATAAAAAATTTGAAAATCAAGAAAAAAAATTTCATTTTGTTTTATTACATTGAATTTTTCAAATGTTATTACTGCTCCATAAACCTTAAAAGGCAGTCGGAACATTCAGGGCTTCGCCCTGATATGAGCAGTCTTGCTTACTAGTTTATAATTTTAAACCGGAAAAAATTGCCTCGTCCAAAGCTGATATCAGAAGAAAGATTCGTAACTTCACTTTTGGTTATTTCTAGATCACACACGGACACATGCTGCAGACGTGATTCAGGGCGTCTATTACCTAACTATGAACCAAGTGCCATGTTCCGGATCCAGACACGACCATGTCTCCGGACTCCCCGGCTCCTCCAGCGACTTAATGGACGACAACACCTCCAACGACTCAGACTACCTCCGCATCAACGGAGGCATCGAGTGCTCTTTAGGCGCCATAGGTACATTTATAAAAAAAACTATCAAAAAATCTCATTAACGGAATATAATTAGTTCAGGGGTAATAGAGTTACCGAAATTACTTGAAAATTGTTATATTTTACAAGCGTTCGATAGTTCATTCGTTGCACATACCCCCCCCCCCCCCCCCCCCCCTACTTCACCTTCACTCTTAAATACATTTTTCTCGAAAAAATTCACCGATGCGGGGGAGAAAAAACAGAGACCATTGATTTCATGATTATTCCCGTTGTTTAATTGGAAATGTTTGGCTTGGAAATGTTTGTTTTCTTCTAGCGGAGAGAATGCCGGGAATGGAACACATGTCACTTCTATTGGCGGCTGCCATGCACGACTATGACCACCCGGGGAGGACGAATGCCTTCCTCGTGGACACGCAGGACCCACTGGCCATACTTTATAACGACAGGTCAGTGACCTTCCACATACTCAAACACTAATGAGTATGTGCATATATATATACCTAATTTAACGGACAAAAAAAGACATGTATTGTACCATTTGATGACCATTGACCTGTTCTCGGTGCTATAGTTCAGCCACTCCTTTTTAATCAAAAATTTTGATGAAAGATCAACAAAGCGAGTTAAAACTGCGGATTATCCTCTCTCTAAATAAAACCTGCAATTAATTTCGTCCTAACAAGGCATTATTTCTTCCTTAAAGGTCATTTCTGTTTGCTAAATACAACAACTGTTACAATTTGAATCAAAAGAACCTCCTCCTTTCCTTTTTCTGCAAAAAAGAGATATTAAAAATGAGATGTTAACAAAGAGATCCTTCAATTTTCATTTTGGTTCACTTTTAGATCTGTGCTGGAGAATCACCACGCTGCTAGCAGTTGGAAGTTGTTGATGCAAGAAGAAAATGACTTCATCACTTCAGTTTTGGACCCTGTGGAATTCAAGAGACTTCGTTTTTTAGTCTTGGAGACAATTCTGGCCACTGATTTGAAGAAACACTTTGACTTTCTCGCTCAGATGAAGGCGAAGGTCAGTATCATAAAATGGCGAATTTGTTTTTTGAGTTAATCGTTTTGCCATTAGAGTCAACAACAAAAGAAAAAATGTATAGAAACATTTCATTTTAGTTTTAAAGTGCGGGAAAAAATGAGTCTTAGAGTCAAGTTGAATTGAAACAAAAAAATTTCCCCATACATGTCAACAGGCATAAAAAATTACAAAGAATTCAATTTGCGATCAAATTCTCGGAGCAATTAAATCGCTCAAAGTCACAGATTTTACCAAAAATTTGGCATAAACTTTAAATTGATTTACTTTTATATCAATTCTTTTGCAAATTTTATGTTTTAAAAAATTGAGCATGCTAATTTAAAACAAATTTTGTTGTAAAAAGTATGGCAAAATTATATGAAGTTGCATGACAAACATTTGTTAAAGAGTGTCAAATTGTATGATGAGTCCAAAAATCGTTTTTTTTGTAAGCCCGGATGACAATTAAGCCTGGCTTTTCAGCTCAATAGCATCTCACAGACTGGAGGTCCAGTGTTCGACTGGACGAACGAGGCAGACAGAATATTCTACTCCCAACTGGCCATCAAGCTAGCCGACATAGGGGGTCCAACTAAGGGTTTCGACATCCACAGACAGTGGACTGAACACATCTGCGAGGAGTTCTATCAACAGGTTACCACTTGGAAAAAAGTCAGGAAGAACACTTTTTCCGCGTCAATTTATCCAATACGTCTAAAGACAAGGGAAGGTCTAAAAACTTATCCTACAGCAATTTATATGAAAGAAAAGCTGTAAAAATCTGTTCACTTGTGATCCCTTGCACACGTTTTTTAGTCATCCTTAATCATTTTAGATATGTCTTCCTAAATTAAATAGAAGAAAAATCGAAAGGGAGGGAACTGGAAAAGAGCCTTGAATTATTGGATCTCTTTAAGCATCCCCCATGGTACCTAGTAACGAATCCCCCCATCTATAAAAGATAAAAGGGTTCTTTAACTTATTGTCTTGTAGGGTGACGAGGAGGAGGCTAGAGGTCTACCGGTGAGCATGTACATGTCCAGAACCAGCCCCCAAGTGGCACAGTTGCAGGAGTCCTTCATCACCCACATGGTCGGCCCCCTCTGCGAACTATTCGAGGCAGCCTCTCTCATACCACTGAACTCGTGAGTCAACTGCTCCTTTTTTTTCAACTCAATTTCCTTCACCACTTCAATTTAGCATTTCATGATATAACTTTATGATGTAACGAGGTTTTTTAGAGTTTGATGAACGTGGTGAAACTTCTTATATAAGTCGCGTTGATTTTTTTGTGCTTTTTCGGGTAAAATCTTGAATGTTATTTAAGCTCAATTTCGATTGTCCGAGGTTTGACTTTGATTTCTTTTTCCATCCATTTACTTTGTCCTTTGTTAAAAGAAAAGCTAACTCCCCACTATCGAAGCTAAAGATTGTAAAATTACGCAAAACGTGATCGACTTCTACTTTCGAAAATTGAATTTCGAAAATTTGCTCAAAATTTGATTGTCTGCCGAATTTTTTAAATTAAAAACGGTTAGAAGCTGTTGCTGTGGATTTATAAGATCTGAACTTAAGATTAATGAAAGTAAATTTTAACTGTCAATTAACGTAGTGAAGACTCTTAAATAGGTTGTGATGACTTTTGTTTATTTTTGGCGTTTGGTTTGGCGTTTCTTTCTTTTTAAGTTCAGTTCATTTTTTTTGTTAAAAGGAATGGAAATTCTAATATCGAGCAGCAAGAAGGTAAAAAACACAAAATACGTGATTGATTGACTGTGGATTCTAATTTTCAGATTTCAACGGGGAATTGAACGTTCACCTTCCGACCCAGTTTTCTCAAATTGGGTTAATTGTGTCGGAAAAGTGTCAACCATAAAATGGTTTTGCATTTCAGAAAACCTTAAAGTCATTTTTTTGTTCTTTGAAAATCGACAGTCGAAAATTTTTCAAAAATAAGCAATTTTTTTTCTGTTTCCCTGTGTTCATTGATTATTTTCCAGCTGTCTGTCTGCTAGTTTTTTTCTCAACAGTTTTCTCGACTCTGTATTAAATCTTTTCCCACACAAACAAGTGAAGTTTTTTTTGAACACTCAATCAAAAAATTGCTAATTTTCAGAATGGTTGTGGAGTTGTGCTAATTTTTAGAATGGTTGTTTTAGAATGGTTTTTTGATAATTTGAATTCATGGCAGTTCTACAGATTTCTGGAATTTTATTAGTTTTGAGAAAATGAACAATTTTTGTTTGAGGAAAACAGATTTCATGAAAATGTATGGAACTTTGTTTTTTTTCTACTTTTTTAAGATTTTTGAGACGCTTTGGAAATTTGTTCGACAAGTTCAGTTTTTCTCACAAACCTTTTTGCCTAATTTCAAATATACGGGTTTCGACCAAAAGACATCCTACTCAACTGTCTGCCTGGATATTCCCTATTCTCTTCGTACAGTACCTCACTTTCTATTGCCTTTGAAAAAGTTCTGCGGCCCAAAGAATGACCCATATTTTTGTAGTTTTTTCTTTTCCTCGAAAGCTACTCTAACGAAACTGACACCAAAAAAAGTTGCAGGAAGCTGCCATGTATTAGCTATTAAGCACAAATTTTTTCACTCAAAAAGTTAAAGGCTAAGAAGCCTCACTGCATAAATGGCTGCAAAGCTACGGGTTCAATCAAAAGAACAACTTATGTGAGTCTTCCCTGCAGAAGCAATGAATCCCTAATTTTTGTGAAAACTGTTACTAAATTTTAAATTTGATAGATTTTTTTTGGAAGATTTTAAGGAGTCAACGAGCCTAGTTCAAACTCTTATACAGGTCGTGTTAGTTCATTTCGTGTTTTTTTTCAGGAACAGTCTTTAGATTCTCTAATAACAAAAGAAGTGCATTCAATTTTGTAAATGCCCCCAAGGAGCCCATAAAATATGCAAAACTTTTGCGTTCCATTCAAAGTGATTTGGAGGCAATTCTGAAATCTGAAATGGCCTGAAAAAATGTGATCGATTTCTAGTTCGAAACATGGAAATAAATTTTTAGATTTCCCAGCGGAATAAAAACTTTTTTTAATAAACCAATTTTCTCAAGCTGGGTTTATTTTGTCAAAAAACTGTCACAAAATGCTCTTCAATTTGAAAATGCCTTTTTTTTTAAATTAGTTTTTTTTTCAGTTTTTTTTGCGTTCAGTCTGACTTTTTCCATTTGTTTGTTTGCTGTGTTGTCTAAAAAATGCGTTGCAATTTCTGTTGTTGATGGTTCAATTGAAAAAAATGAAGCAAAAATTTTCCTGCATAAACAGCTACAGCCTATTTTCTGTAAAAACAAACCCGGTTTGTCCTTAGAATAAAGCAACTTTCAAAGTTTTCAAGAAATTTTGGAATTTTTTTTCCTTTTTTCTTTGAAAACTACGCAGCCAGTTTTAGTAATGAGTTCAAATGAAAACAAGACTGCTCGTACATCAGGGCAAAGCCCTGAATGTTCCAACTGTCTCTTAATTCATATCGAATAGTTTTTGAGAACGAGCAGTCTTGTTTAAATTTTATTGTCTATGAAAACTGAAATATTTTTCATGTGATACAAAAATTGAACAGTGTCAGTCAAAAGTGTTTTGAATGGGCAGGCATTTGTATTAAATTGGTTAACGATTCAAATTATGGAGAAACAGCTAAGTAGATAACCTCGGGTTGAATTTTTTCTCTGCCAATTAGGCATTTTAAAGAACAGGTTTGGCAAAATTTTGTGTAATGTATGAAAAATAATATTGCTCTGGGTTGATTTTTTTTGTAAAATGGGTTAATTAGTCCAACCTATGTCTGTGATTTCTGTAGGCGGTGAAAAATGTTAGTCTCAAATCATTCCTATTTGAGCAGAGGCAAGATAATTGATCCAATTCTTGCGTTATTATATGACAAAAGTTTCCTTTTTACTTTTTTGTGTACATTTTTAAGGGCGAGTTTGACTGTTTTTTAAGACATCTTAAATACATTTTGAATTTTGTTTTTTATTGTTCCGACTAACGTAAGTAACGGAATTAACGGAATATTTGTGCTCGGGGTGGGTTTTGTTTCTTCAGACAAATTTCGACTTTTTAACTAGACATTTTTGACGGAACTGTTTTTTTTTGTCATTCAAAAGGTATTGTTGTCCTGAGCTTAAATTTGAAAAAAAGTTTCCTCTGTGACAGTGGCGTGTGCAGAAAATTTTTTAGGGAGGCGGTTTTTAGAAAAATTTTGAAATTTTTGTCGTCTTTTTTTCAACAAATTTTTCAACAAACAGGCCAAAAAAAGGCGTTTTAAGACACTTTTTGAAAAATTTTGACCAACAAATGGCGTTTTTTCGCTCGCGCTCCCCCCTCAAAATTAGCCTTTAGAAAAATTTTAGGGTCCGTCACCAAAAATGGTTATCTAAAAACAGTACAAAAGGTTGACCATTTGGTCGACAGGGGGTCGAATTCCTGAAAGAAGGGGATCCCCGCCCCCTACCCTAAATCCGCTAGTTGCGCCTGTAGAAAAATTTTGAGGTTTATCACCGAAAATGGATGTCATAAAGTTGTACCCTTTCGAAAATTTTGGCAACTAGAATTGAGGGGAATGGGAAGGAGTGGAAGTCGCACCCCCCCCCCCTCGGCACGCTTCTGACCTGTGATTATTTTTCGTAAGACAATTAACGCGCGATATATTTCGCGCTATTAAAGCGTAAGCGGAGATTTAATCTGTTTTAGAAATCGTTCCAAATTGGTTGAACGAATCATATTTGTCATAATTGATTTGTTACTAGGAGCGAAATTTATCATTTCTTGGTCTTACTACTCCACAGACCTTAAAAGGCAGTCGGAACATTCAGGGCTTCGCCCTGATACGAGCAGTCTTGTTGTTTTTAAACTTTAATTGGATCAATGAGAGTGGCTGAAATAAATTGGAAAAAAAAATCTGAGCATGTTTAATTTGGGGCAGTTGCCACGCGTTTATAGAAAACTGGACTGTTTGTGCGGAGTATTTTTTTTTCAAATTGGCAATTTTGGCAGACTTCAAACCTCCGCAACCTAACAAAAAATGATTGTAGATCAACCATCTTTTGATTTTAAACTCATGGCATTGTTTTTTTTGAAAAAAAAATCCCTAAAAACTGTTCATCGAAGAATCGAAATAACTATTCAAAACCTCACCGAGTAGAAACAATCCATTGTTTCTTTGAAAATTGGAACGAACAGAAAATGAAATGACAGAATATGGCTTGCATTGAGTTTTTGATGTCAACAAGAATTAAATTCCACTTTAACTTATTAAATTGCATTATATTTTCGTGGCAAAATTAAGCAAATCACGTTAAGAATTTATCCTTAATTAATTTCATTATGAGACCAAAATGTTCACTGGATAGGTGAACAATTTAGTGTTTGTAGGTCTCTAGAAGTCTTTAAACATGTTAAAATTTTGTCGAAACGATCCAAGAAAACGAAAGAATAAAAGCAGATCAAAAAGAACGTCCTTGTTGCAGAATCTTTTTTTTCTCTGGTGAAATAAGTTTTTTAATAAAGAAAACTATGCAGCGCAAGCGAAATTTTGAAAGAAAAAATCTGGCTGAAAAAAATTTTATTGGATAATTTTTTTGGAAGCATTTTTTTCGCGTTCTCTCCCCCTACTTTAAATATGTATTCTTTAAAAAAAACAATTACGTGTTTCAAAAGCATTGAAAAACATTCAATCCCCCAAAAGCAAAAAATAAAAAGACTTCATAAAAATTTCATAAAAAAATTGGTAAAGGCCGAAATTATAATCTCAGAAAGAATCTTCGACTTTCTAAGTGCAGTTTGAAATTTCATGTTATGTTCAGACGGGAGGAGGAGCTGGTTGCCGACAGATTAGCGGCTGAAAAGAGTGGCGACGTCTCGGGGGGTCTGCCCAAGATCCGAGTCACCAAGGCCGAAAGCGAGCAGACCACAAATCCAGGTACGCAAGGGGAAAGGGCAGGTGGGTTATTCAGAGGAACTATAGGCCCGAATTTCAGGCCCGAGTTCCAGGCCCGAACGATAACAGGCCCGAAACTTTTGTCAGCCAATCAGAAATCAACATTGAAAAACAGAAATAAGCATACCAGTCAGTTTCGGATGGTTTAAAAAACCTCGATGGGCTCAGAGTTTTTTCTCATTCGATCTTCATTGCCATGAGAGCTGATAGCTCAAGGGCCGTCCTCGCGCCAAAAAAAACGAGAGACCGAAAATAGCCAGCGCCTTTCAAACTGACCCAAACTGACTTGACCTTCACGCCTATTTCTTTAAAATTTTTGAGTGCTGAATTTTATTTGGCTGACATGATTTTCGCTCATTCTGTCTTATGCTTGACAGCTCCCCTCTCCGAGCAATGGGGGTGTTCTTTAAATTAAAGAAGCAATCCTGCAGTTATTGAAATTTTAACAGCAAATAGCCAGTGTATATTGTTTTCCGCGCCGTGTTTAGTAGCTTTAGAGGCCACCCTCTCACTAATAATTACATTTTTTTTCAATATTTCAGTAACACCGGCTAGGTTGCTGGTATGAAAAAACACGCCATGTTTTTGTTTGTTGACAAAATATAATTCGTTGTTGATAGACTTGGAAGCTTTGCCAGCATCAGCAATTTGAATCAAACCGTTCATTGTTCACAATGTGTAATGTTTTAAATTAAACTAGCAAGCTCGTCTCCAGTAATCAATTAGGGCGCAAAAAATTAGTTGTTCTGATCTGTCAGGGGCTACAATATGTTCAGTTGTCAATCATCCTAGTTGTCAATCATCTTAGTTGCTATTCTTATTTCTCATACTTTAATTAAGTGTGAGTTTGGTACCTGCCTGTCAATCAACTAAAAGCTGTCTAGCTGTTATGTGTTGACCTCTAGTTCACTCTCTTATTTATGCGAACTAGAATACAGTCAATTGAGTATTTAACAGCCATCTTTTTACAAACCCTTGTTATGGCGCAGCCAGTGGATGGTGGGGGAAAAAACCCCCTTGGAATTGTGGCTTTCTGGCCTCCAACTCAGGCGGAACCGCAACTTTTATGGGAACACTGGAAACAACGATTTCATTGGGCAATGGTGGCGAAACATGGACTAGTCTTGTCAGACTACTACTTTCCATCGACATTAACTGAAGCACAGATCGCAGACCTGGGTGACATTGGTGGAAAACCACGGGCAGAAGGTGAACGTACACTGATATCGAATCTGTATTTATGCCTGGGACATGAGGGACAGAGAGCCTTGCATAATCAACATCCACACTTAGATATGGAAACAATACGATACCCACGTTTTTTGGATACCTGTGTAACTCTTTTTCAGAAAGAGCGGAACGAAAAGTACGAGATGTACCAAATGTTGTCGAGGAAACAAAAGGAGGGTGAGAGTCTAGAATCGTTCTATGCAGAACTTAGCGGGGGAATGGCGGCAAGATGCAATTTGGGCACCCAGGAGCGGAAAATGGTGAGAGACATATTTATTTTCAACATGAGGAACAGGGACGCACAGAACGAGCTGTGTCGGGAAACTAAAACCCCGGAAGAAGCATTCCGCATCGCAATGTCATATGAAAGAGGAGACAAATACGCAAGGAGCTACAAGGGCGCCGTATCCGGTTCCACGGGAATGGCGCATCCATCGCCAGGGGGTTCCCTACAGATCAAAACGGAACCAGTCAGTAATATTCGCGGATCCAGGGGACGAGGAATGCCAAGGGGACGGGGTCAATACCCAAATCGTGGAGGAGGTCGAACAACCGATCGAATGCAAGAGCGCAGATGTTACAACTGCGATCAACCGAACTTCACCCCAGAACACCGACAACGATGCCCAGCAAGAGCCGTCACATGCAACTTCTGCAAAAAGATTGGGCACTTTGAGAGGACTTGCCGTGGAAAACGACAATCCAGGGGGGGACAACCAGTTGGACTGATCCAAGGGGATGAACTCTTCGACGAAGAAGATACCCCCTCGGATGACGTGGAGCCCCAAGCTGCGGCAAATTCAGTAGGCTTCGTTAAACGAGAACACCACAGCTGGTCATCAGAAAGTTCAGACGATTACATGGTTATGGCAATTCGACGGAAGAAAGAAACGGCGTTGAAAGTTGCCGGGCCTAAACTCAAAATATTCATTAATGGGCACCCGATGAACATTTGGATCGACAGTGGATCGCCGATTTCCATTCTAACACTGAAAGATTTGAGAAGAACAGTGGGAAGAGCGGGAATCAACTTGAAGCAGGATAACACTGACGATGACGAATTTCGAGACTACAGTAACAATCGGATCAAGATGTTGGGCAGAATGGAACTCGAGTTAGCATCAAACGGCTGGAAGACGACAGCAGAAGTCCGAGTCATTGGGGGGACCAGACCATCCATCGTGGGACGTGATTTGATGGGGAAACTTGGACTCCAGTTGATGCAAGCAGATCCAAGGGGGCAAGTCATGAACATCCAGGGGGCGGAGGACAATTCATGCAAGGAGGGGCACGATGAACCGGAGGATGAGCAGATGGATCAATGGCAATCATACTTCAGTAAGCTATTCCCAAAACTTTTTACTAGAGTTGGAAAAATTAGGAACTACAAAGTTCAAGCAGAATTTTTCAAAAATCTTGTACCGGTGCAGCAGAAGAGACAGAGAGTACCGGTAACGCTCCAAGAAAAAGTGGACAAAGAAATCGATAAGCTATTAACCCAGGGACATATAGAAAAATTGAAAGAGTGTTCGGATCGATACTTTGTTTCTCCGATCGTCATCACCGTGAAAAAAGACGGGTCCGTAAAATTAGCATTGGAATCACGAGAGCTTAATAAACAAGTGCATAAAAACAAATACCAGATGCCAAATATAGAAGAACTTGTAGATACAATAGGACAACTTATATCCGAGAAAAAACAAGGGGAAGTGTACTTTACTACGATGGACCTAACGTACGCGTATGGGCAACTACCGCTTAGTGAAGAAACAAGCGTGCACTGTAATTTTTCTTTGGTGGGCGGACGGTCGACAGGAACTTACCGCTTCCGAACAGGGTTTTACGGGCTAACGTCAATGCCGGCAGAGTTCCAGCGATAAAAGGACTCACTTTTAAACGAATTCCCACAAGCGAACGCGTTTATTGATGATATTTTGGTTACAACCAAGGGAACGGAAGTAGAACATATCTCCTTGGTTGAAAAGATCCTCCGGAAACTAAACCACGAAAACATATCCTTGAAGTTACCAAAATGCGAGTTGGCGAAACGCGAATGCGAGTGGCTTGGCCATCGTATAACCGAAACGGGGGTTACGCCTCTTAAACGAAAAACATCGCCGATAGACGCACTAAAAGCTCCTAAAACAGTCACGCAATTAAAGTCATTTATGGGCTCAATCCACTGCTTGCATAAATATTTACCGGCGATAGCGGAGATGTCAGCTCCATTAAGGCCACTCCTCAGCAAGAAGAACGAATATAACTGGACCGCGGAATGTGAAAATGCTTTCCAAAATATTAAAATGGGGGTGGCGAACATAGTTGAATTAAAACACTTTGATATTCATAAGGATATTAGAGTTGTTTGCGATGCAAGTCACAATGGCCTTGGAGCGGTTTTAGAGCAATTGGGTACCGAAGGGTGGCGCCCTATATCTTTTGCATCACGATTCTTAAACGCAGCCGAGAAAAAATATTCCACTAACGAGCTTGAGATGCTGGCAGTGGTATGGGGGGTCGAGTATTTCAGAAATTACATCCTAGGGAGATCATTTACAGTCATTACCGATCATAAGGCTTTAATTTCATTACTTAACGGGAATAACAAGAAAAACAAAACACTTTTTTCAAGACTGACACGTTGGCTGGACAGACTGATTCCTTTTGACTTTGTAATAGAACACAAACCGGGCGCCAAAATTGGATTGGCAGATTATTTGTCGAGGCATCCTAGCGAACCCCCTAAACCGATAAGTCAATATGATAATTTGTTCACCGTGGCAAAAATCGCTTCGATCAGAAAATCCCTTGGTTTTACAAATGAATTAAAACCCCTTGGTAAACGAAATTATCAGAACATTCGAGAAACTGGTTCTAAACAGTCTAGACGGTTTTCATCCAATCACAAGCGGGAACGAATAACATGCATACAACCAGCGACGGTTGAGGGCGGAAAGTCATGCGTGAAGACAACGACCAATAGGAAACGATCAATTTGCATAACGCGTAAATCAAAGAAATCCAAGGGACATTCAGTGTGCTCTATATATTGTTCCCTTGGAAGACGGTTAAATTTGCCTACATCCAAACACTCAAACAAAATGGATAGCGACTCTAATTGTTCTTTCCCAGTATTTGAAATTGAAAATGTTGAAAACGATACAATTGATTCCCAAACTAACAATCCGAATATACTACAACCTCAGATCAACTCTCCGCTTAGATTAGATGAAAACTTATTGAGTAGCGATGAAATAACTGTCATTAACCCTGAAATTGTTGCAATTACTAAAAACACACGGGATTCCAAAATTAATACAGTACTTTCCATACCTTCGAAATTTCCAGGCGAGCTTTTTCCTACTGTTAATCCGAATCAGCAAATTATGTCCATCATTCCCCGTGATTGCAAGGTTATCAAGAAGTCTCAATCGTTACCAGAACTTTTTAATTTAGAATTTGTTGCCTCGAACATACCAGCGGATGTGAACTTAGTACGAGTAAAAGAAGCATTGGAGAAGAAGACAAACTTGAAAGAAGAACTCCTAAAGATTGGGAAGTACTGGGCTCAATACGCTAACGATCTGTCGTTACGGGACGATTGTGTGTGGTTGGATGAACGGTTGGTCATCCCTTTACCTTTGCAAGTCCCAGTTGAATCGCGGATACACTATTACCATCACGGTAAAAGAAATATGTTCGAAGCAGCGCGTGACGTCTGGTATCCTTACATGTACCGCAGTTTGGCAGCAAAGGCCACGTACTGTCAGCAATGCACGGAAGCGGGTAAGAATCTAAAACCGTTATTACCCAAGGGAGACATGGGCAAGGTCCCAGAACCAAGGGAACCCAATGAATGTTTACAGTTGGATTTCTGGGGGCCGATAAATTACTTGAACGAAAGTAAGAAATACGTTTTGGTTGCTACGGAACGATTCTCAAGGTGGCCGTCAGCAATGGTTACTACCACTAATACGTCAGATAAGGTCTTAAAATTCCTTAATAAGTACATATCGCATCATGGAGTACCTCGGAAGATCCACGTTGATCAGGGATCATGTTTTACTTCTAATAAATTTAAAAGCTTCTGTAACGAAGAAGGCATCGAGCTAATGTACTCCCCAGTGAATGATCATCGAGGCACGGGGTCCGTTGAACGGACAATAGGAAGTTTGAAGAATTTTGTCTTAACATATGCGACAGAAAAAGAACATAAGTCTCTAGAATCTATGGTCGATAAAGCGCTAAGCGCTCTACGATTCTCAAAAAATGCAACTACTAAATTAACACCTTTTGACGCTCACCACGGCAGGGAGGCCAATACCGTTTTACGAAACCTTACGAAAAAACCAAGTTTGAAAAACTTGAATTGGAAGAACGTCTTAAAACAAAAATGTTTGTGTTTAGACGAAACTGATCCTGAGATGAGTAAAGTTGCATTCCCTCAGCATTCGAATTGGGAGGAGAGGTCGGATCTAACATACGCTCCAACTTTGCGAAGGGCCCTATCACGCTGGATAGTGACCAACAAATGGACGCATGTCCAAGGGAGGGATCGGAAGTTGGACCACAAATCCAAGGGAGTGGAGACACTGGCCCTAACATCCAGGGGAGTGGAGGAGGACGCACCCTATACCAGCGTACTACCAGCAAGACCCTAAATTGGTATAAATTACTAAAATCCAATGTAATCTCTGAATCCGAACATACTTTAAAACTTAAAAACGGATCCGTTCTTAGGAAAAGTGCAGTGGCATCAAAACCGAAACCTGACCTTCCCAAGAAACGGAAACCGGCTACGCTCAAGGATATGCTAGCGAGCGCAAAGAAAGGAGCAGTCGTGAGCCCGAAATCAAAAAGAGCTAAGACTACGCGGACGGTACAAGTAGCCACCTTCGAGTCCGACAGTTCGGATACTGAAGACGATCAGCCATTGAACATTCCGGCAAGACTACCGGTAGAAATGCTAGCGAGACGCGAAGCAATTGCGGCGGGACAAGGCCCAAGCGGCAGTACGACAGTAATGGAAGGAGGAACGGGAGCTAAAGCCAAATCCAGAGTGACAAGAGCTAAGCGAGGAAAAGGGGGCCAAAGAAAACAAGCGAAGGAAAGCCAGGAACGTCCAGCGTTAGTGGCGCGGGAGTGTCTTGTAAATAGTAGTCAAGAAGAAGACGTTGAATCAGGCAGTCAAAGTGAAAGCTCGGGAACCAGAAGGAGTACTAGAAGGAGAAAGCCAGTAGACAAAATGGGAGGAGTTATGATTGAAACTATCCAGGGGGCGGAACAAACAGGAAAACATCCAGGGGGAGAAGGGAAATGAATCTTATTTCTACATTTATTCAAAAACTCGTTAACCCAGGGAGAGGGATGGCCATAAGCCTAAAACTCAAGTTGTTAAAACTCAAGTGTTTGTTGCATTATAGTTGAGGCGGCAGGTTGAAGGTGTAGTTATTATATTTAAATTTAAATTACTATGTATTTAAATTTTACATCCATACGGAAATGTCAGGGGCTACAATATGTTCAGTTGTCAATCATCCTAGTTGTCAATCATCTTAGTTGCTATTCTTATTTCTCATACTTTAATTAAGTGTGAGTTTGGTACCTGCCTGTCAATCAACTAAAAGCTGTCTAGCTGTTATGTGTTGACCTCTAGTTCACTCTCTTATTTATGCGAACTAGAATACAGTCAATTGAGTATTTAACAGCCATCTTTTTACAAACCCTTGTTAGATCAACCTATTTCAGCGATGAAACTTCAAAGAATTTCAAGTTAAGCCATTTATTAAATCGGTTTAAAAAAACTTGATTTTCATAGAACAAATCGATTCGGAAAAAATCAAGCTTTCTAAGCAAGCTATTCTAGCTATGTAACTATGTAACTTTAAAACTAAGCGAATCGGATGGCAAAAATTTTAACTTTTTCTTTTGTAGCCAATCAAGCGATGAAACTTCATAGCGGTGATCAAACTGAGAAATATCAAATCTTTATTAAGCAAACTATTCAAGCTATGAAACTTTGAAATAATTCAAGTCACTTCAGACTAAACCATTGCACGAAAATTTAGGGTTTTTCTAAGTAGGCTATAAAACTTTGAAATACTTCAAGCCGTTTCTTAGATTGAATCTTTTTGCATTAATTGAAAGTTTTCTAGGCAAGTATTCAAACAAAAAACTTTAAAAAATTTCAGGTTGTTGCAAAGTAATTTCATGAAAGGAATCGGATAGCGAAAAGTTCAAGTATTTCTCTTGAAAACATTCAAGCAATGAAACTTTGAAAAATTTTAGAATAATTTTTAGACCAAGTCGTTTTGCAAAAAATTCAAATGCAATTTTTTTAAGCAAGCTATTCAAGAAGTTTTGAAAAAAACCAAGTTATTTCTTCATAAACAGAAACGGTTTGCGATAAATTCATGATTTTTTTGTTGAAGCTATGAGACTTAAAAATATTTTAGCAGACCGAATTGGTACTCTCGAAAAAAGTCAAGTTTTTCTAAACAAGTTATTCAAGAAATGAAACCTTGAAAATAAGCAAACCGGATGGTGGAAAGCTTAAGCAAGCTGATCAACCTTTTAATTATCTCAAATTATTTTATAGTCTGAATCTGTTCGCGAAAAGTCTAGATTTTCTAAGCGACTACTTATTCTACAAAACTTCAAGTTATTTCACAGTGTGAATCATTTTGCTAAAAGTTAGCTTTTTTAAGCATGAAGGTTGCTGTATTTAATTGATTTCTTTCAGACTATGCAAGGGTTCATATTCGTTCGAAATAACTTTTTATAAAATTTTAAAATCTCATGTAGTCAGTTTATAAGTCGGTTGACACTTTTATGAGCAATTCACCTGATTTTCCCAATTTTTTCAACTCTTAATAATTAAAACTACTAATTGTTTTTTATTTGATTCATGTCAAAATTTTGTTGATTAAACTCACCGGCTGATTTAGTGGGGAGGGGCCCTTTGTACTAATTTGAGAGATCCATTTTTGGCTGGAGGACCCTAAAAATTTTCTAAAAAGTGACTAAAAACGCCTTTTTTGGCCTGTTTTTTCAGAAGCTTCCTTGAGGCGCAGAATTTTTGGCCAAAACAGGAGTTTTTTAATGCTTTGTGAGAGCTCGAAACATCAATTTAGTCAACCTATAAAAAGGTCAACAAAGTTTCTGAAATTTTTTTGAAAATCCGATTCCCCCTTGTAAAAATCCTAGATCCACCCCTGGTTCAACTCCTCTTTTGAACTCTTTACTCAAACTGTTACTGAACTCTTATTTATAGCTAATGCCAAATTGTCGGCAAATTTTTTCGGCCAACGAATTTGAACGAAGTTAATTAACCTAAAACTGCTCATTTTGATGCTGGAGTTATCTTTATTACTGGTTTCAAAACTGTGTTCAAAAATTAATTAACCTAAATTAATATAGTTTTTGACTAACTAATTTTCTCAAGGTCACCAATATAGTCAACCATTTGGTATTAACTATTTAGATGCGAACTCGGCGTCTACCAACTGGTGTCGACACAGCACAGTCTCCATCAACAGCCAGGAGAGCATCATCATGCGACAACTGAAGTCAAATCTAGCCTACTGGCAGGAGGTTAACAAGAGACACTCTCTTTATAACTAGATTTAAAAGTGATGCCACTAATCTATCAAACAAATATCAAAGTTTTTTTGCAAAGAGGCAATGATTTAAAAATGAGTGATTTCAAAGAAGTAGAAAATCTCTATATCAAGCCTTTCAGGAAATAAATCTGATTTTTAGAAATCAATGTGATTTGTTTGATTGGTGACAAGGGCAGTCTGATTTTAAGCATTGCGATTTTTGTTAGTGGTATTGAATGTTGTTGTCGGGGGTTAAGAGGTCAATTGTCGAATCATTGTTATAATAATTGGGTAAATTACCTGAGGAGAGTAGTACACCAATTGTTAGTAAGGGTAGTTTTAAGGGTTGAGTCAAAGGAGTTCCATGCAGTTGGGCATCAGTTGAGTAAGTACATGAAAAATAATACAATAGTAAATCAGGGATAAAACTAAGGTAAATATAATATCATAAATAGGGATATTATATTACATGGTACGGGGAATACTAAAAGGCGAACGTTAGAAAAAGGGGAACTGTTAATAAGGGGGTTATTCAGAAAAGTTGATATTAATCCCGAGTTTTCGTATAAATTGAAACATTATTTTACCTGAAAGTTTGTCATTTCCTTGTAAGTCATGCTGTTTTTGAAAAGTTGAGAGAAACGAGTGAGTCAGCTTGGCTGTAATGTCAAAAGTCAAGTTGAGAGAAAGGTGACCTTAATTGTTTACAATTAACACCCGCCCACATTTGCAGAGCTTGCAAATAAAGTATTGAATAAAATAGTAAGGATACGGTAAAATACAAAGATAAGGGAACCAGTAGATAAGGGAACCAGAAATTGTTCTTTTTCATCTTCATCTTGGTTTGTCTATCGTTGAGCTGATTGTCTTAGTTGAATTGACGAGTCGTAGATTTGTTCATCTTTGTCTAATTGATATGTTGAAGGCTGAGTTGCGTGATTATTTGGTTGGTTAGCTATTTGGAGCTTGGTTACTGCGAAACTGGGAAAACGCGGCTCAATTTGACCACAGGTCGAACTTTGAATCCAGTTGGCGTTTTCAGCTTCACTGAGCGGACTATTCCATCTTGTCCAGGAAAGGTTTCCACCACTTTAGCAAGAGGCCACAGTCCACGAGGTGTAAAATCCTCCAACATCCAGACCATGTCGTCGGGTTGCAAATTGGAAGTCGCAGAAGTCCACTTTGATCGTTTCTGCTGACCTGGTAAGTACTCTCGAAGAAAGCGATTCCAGAAGTGATCTGCGAGTAGTTGGGATGCTTTCCATGATTTTGACAGAGATAAATCCTTGTCCTTGAAGATACCAGGCGGTAAATTTGGAGTTCCACGACCAAGAAGGAAATGGTTGGGAGTGAGAGGCAGATCATCTTTGATGTCGTCAGACACATTGGTTAAAGGTCGTGAATTCATGGTTGATTCAATTTCGGTCGTGAAAGTAGCCAGTGTTTCATAGGAGAGTGTTCTTGATCCGATGACTTTGTACAGGGAAAGTTTAAATATCTGAACTAGTCGTTCCCAAGAACCACCAAAATGAGGGGCCGCAGGAGGGTTGAATTTCCATTCGAGTGATACGTCCAGCTGATTGATGCTTTCCACAAATGCTTTCCACAAATTGTTCTTTTCCAAGTTGTCTAGACATTTCTTCAGCTCAGAATTGGAGCCCACAAAACTTGTCCCACAATCAGAAACCATTTTCGATGGTTTTCCTCGCCGGGCAAAAAAGCGTCTGATACAAAGAAGAGTGCTGTCTGTCGATAGTCCTAATGAGATTTCAAGATGCACAGCTCTGATCACTAAGCATGTGAACAGTAAAATATACGCTTGGTATTGTTTTCCTTGAAGGATGATGGGAAAAGGTCCAACGTAGTCCAATCCAGTCGTTGCAAAAAGAAAATGATTTTTTGATGGCAGTCGATTAATTGGAAGATCTGACATCTGAGGGTAGTCGACTTGTTGTTGCATTCTTCTGCAGGGTATACAACTGTGTATGATACTTTTCAGCATGACGCGGCAGCGAAGAATCCAGTAGTTTTCCTGTGCTATGGCCATTGCTTGTTCCTTTCCGCAGTGGGAATGTAGAACATGGATGTTAGCTAACAGCAGGCGAACATTGGGGTTTTCACCAGCGAGAATGATTGGATATCTAGCTGATAGCATGATAGGGGCACGCGTGAGACGTCCACGAGAACGCAGGATACCGAAGTTGTCCACAAACGGTGCTAATGTTCGAAGTCTACTTTTGCCTTCAATTGGTTTTTCTTTTTTGATGTCTGAAATTTCAGAGACAAAATCTGTCCTTGGGGCAGTTTTAATTATGAGAAAGTGCGATTTCGTTAGATGCAAGAGTTGAAGATCGACCTTCGACTGTTTGTTGATCTTCCGTTTGAGATTTTCTGCGAATAAGAAGCAGTATGCAACTGTCCGTATTAGTCTTTTCCAGTTGCTGAAGCGTTTGATGTCAAATATAGGCTCAAATTTAGCCTCTAATGAAGTAACGAATACAGGAATGTTCTCAAGCCGAATGTTTTCCTGTGAAGGCCATTGAGAAGAATCGTTCAACAGAAATTCCGGTCCTAGTAGCCACCGACAGCTTGAGGTCATTTCTAAAGCAATGTATCCTCTGGTACCGTCGTCAGCAGGATTTAGCAGAGTTGGAACGTGAAACCACTGTTCAGGTTTAGAAACGTCTAAAATTTTCTGAAGCCGATTAGCGACGAAAATTTTGTGTCGTATTTCAGGTGTTCGCAGCCAATACAAAACAGTAGTACTGTCAGACCAGAAATAAGTTTTTTCAACTTTGAGGTCAATTTCCTCTGAAACAAAGAGCGATAGTTGGGCAGCATATACTGCAGCTTGCAACTCGAGATTGGGAATTGTAACACGTTTCATAGGAGCGACTCTTGTCTTTCCTATTATAAACTTCAAAGATGTGGAGCCGTCGCTGTAGACTATTCTTAGGTAGCAAACAGCAGCGAGAGCGAATTCTGATGCATCACAAAACGTGTGAAGCTGGATTGAAGCAGGGTTTTCTTTATCAAAGAAGTTCCTTTGGAATGAAACAGTTTCGAAATTTTCCATTTCGTCTACCCAAAGTTTGAAATCGGGAAGTTTATCCGTGTCTAATGGAGTATCCCACTTAACACCTTGTGACCAAACAGATTGGAGAACTTTTCGAATCCGAATTGTCAATGGAGCCACTATTCCGAGTGGGTCAAATAAAGAAGCGGTATACTTCAGGAGTTTCCGTTGCGTAGCAATGCCAATACGTAGAATTTTTACAAACTTTTTGTTATCGATGAAGTAGCAGTCAGTGTTGGTATTCCAGTGCACACCGAGAACTCGTTGATGTTTAGGCGTTGGATCATTAGGGCTGACTAAAATATTTGGATCAATTGAATCCAGGAATGGTTTACTGTTTGAGTTCCACTTATTCAAGTTGAACCCACCTCGAGATAAAGATCCTCGTAGTTGTGTCATTTGTTGGAGGGCTTCTTCTACCGTTGACGAAGTGACATACAAATCATCCATGTAGATATTCCGTTGAATGATTTCAGAAGCCAGAGGAAAGTCGTTTTTACTGTCTGATGCAGATCGTCGTACTGCGTAGCAAGCCACGCATGGTGAGTCTGTGGCACCGAAAATGTGTCGTGTATATTCGTGAGTTTCTAATTTACCATTTTCTTTCCAAAGGTATCTTAGAAAAGGTCTATCCTTTGGGCTGACTAGCACTTGCATAAACATAGCATCTATGTCAGCAGATATTGCTATTTTATTTTGTCGAAAGCGAATTATGAGACCTGTTAAGTTGCACAAAAGATCGGGCCCTTTGAGCAAACTCGAGTTGAGGGATTTACCCTGAAAAATGCTGGAAGCATTTGAGACTCGTCTAACTTTGTCTGGTTTGTTGACATTTGTCACTGGATGATGCGGCAAATACCAAGATTTGATTGCAGTGTCATGTTTTGCATCTATTTTGGTGACAAAGCCTTTTTCTAAGTCGGTGATGACTGTTGCGCGGTATTTCTCCCTTAAATCAGGTTTACTTTTAAGGCGAAATTCGAGGCTGTTGAGTTGCTTTTCAGCTAGCCAACGGTTATTTGGAAGATCAGTATCCTCTTTCCAAAGAAGGTCAATTTGATAGTGACCATCTACTAAAGTACAAGAGTTTTCGAGAATATCGATTGCTCTTTTATCCGATTTGGAGTGCGAGCGTTTTGAAGAAGCGATGCCTGTGTTTTCTATTTTCATCCAGTTGAGAACTTTCTGGTATAATTTTTCATCTAAGTTATTGTGTGAATGAACTTGTGTGAAGTTCACCGGAACAGATGGAACGGAATTATATTGCGTTTTGTTCCGACCTGTGCATGTCCATCCCAAAAGGGTTTCGATAGCCCAGGGAACATTCTTGGGGCCATAAACGGTATTTTTGATCTCATGATATTCTGGATTGTTGTTTCCGATGACTAGCGATATGCTATTGTCGTTTAAGTCCGGGTATTTAACATGCTTTAAATGTGGAAAATTGTTGCACATTGCGTTTAGTTGAAAAATATCAACTGGGGCCAAATTATTTTCATCTACCGTGAGTACGTCATCGAGCGTCATTGGAGTCGATGTGCTTTTGTATGGTCTAATTTGTACATCCACAGATGTAACTTGAACTGACTTGGTCTCATGATATCCAGATATGGGAAGTGAGTGCTTCTTGTTGACGTCCAAGCCTAGTTGAGTTGCCACTGAGTCCAGTAGTAGAGTTACGCAGCTACCACTATCTAAGAAAGCGTAGGTACAAAGTGTTTTATCACCATTTGATAATTCGATTGGTACAAAAGCTGATTGACCTGATCTCTGACAAGCTATTGCGCGATTCACTGCAGCTTTACTAGGGTTTTTTCCATAAGTATCAGAAGGATCGTGGAGTAGAGTGTGGTGTTTTTTACCACAATTATCGGTTCGACAGAGCGATTTCGAATTGCAGTCAGTAAACCTATGATTCCCTAGACAGTTAAAGCATAAGTGCATTTTTCGGGCATGCTCTTTTCGTTGCTTAGGGTCTAAAGCTTTGAAGTGCTCGCATTTGTAGAGAGGTCCACAGGTGTCTCCACTAGGACAAGCATTCGAGTTTACATTATTCTGAGCACGAGAGTTTTGTTGATCTCCCTGATGGTTAAAGCGCTGATTTTGATTTCCTACACCATTTGTAGTAAAACCATTGAAACGGGAACCACTAGGGTGTTTAGCGTTTCCAGAAGAATTGTTAAAATTGTTATTGTTTTGGTTTCGGAAACCTGTCGGAGGCATGTCGCGACACGCCTGTGCGTACCGTTGAAACCATTGTGCTAGATGTCTCAAGGAGGGTTGATCGTAGTCTTTGTCGATGACGAAGCGATTCCATTCTAATCTCACAGGGTCGGGAAGCTTTGCCAGAGCAGTGTTCAAGTTTGTTGTAGAACAAATATCGTGAACAAAACCAAGTTGCTCAAAAGTGTCCACTAAAGTTAGGAGAAAAGCAGAAAACTGCATGTATGATTCTGGTTGAGCCAGATTTGGAGGTTTGAAATTTGCAAGACGTTGCAAAAAAGAGTTGACAATTCTATTGGTATTGCCAAAGTTTTCACGAAGACGTTGTAGTGCTAGTTCGTATGTGTCGCCGTTTGCACCATAACCAGCTATCATTAGTTTAGCTGGGCCAGTTACCAATGATTGAAGATGGATCATCTTTTCAGTTGGAGACATATTAGAATTATGAATCGATGATACGAATACACCATACCAGTGCAACCAATAGTTGGGATTGCCATTGAAAATTGTAGGCTTCAGTTTTGGCACTGATCGACTGAATGTAGTAGAAGTGTCGCTTGAATTAGTTGCCAAAGCTCGATTGTTGTTGTTAGGAGGGTTTGCAGCACTAGCTTGTTGTGAGCTGTGGTTAGGAACATCACTAGCAAATGGATTTGAAAATGATTGGTCGCCTTGAAATGGCGCCGAAAGGTTGTCGTCAGCGGCAGCTGTTCTTGCATTGCCTTGAGTATTGTTGCTCATGGTTATAAGGTTGTTGTTTGGTATATCCATTATGTTTGCAGTCGGCATGGAGGTTGCGGTTTCCTGTGGGAAAATTGAAGTAGCATTTTCTTGAGCGCTGTTATTTGGAATTGTAGAAGTAGCAGGATTTGACACTTGTTTTTTCAAATATTTTTTCACTTTCATTGAAAATACTCGGATTTTCTGTTTCAACTGTACTGTCCAGTGAGAATGTTCTTCAAAATCGTGTTCAGAACCAGCCTGTAACATTTGATCGTTCAGGGTATCAAGTTTTTGTTGGAATTGAGACAATTCAGTGAACGTTTCATTGATGAGTTCAAGATCATCTTCTTCCTCGTAGATGTTGTTTTCGAGCATGTCGATCAAAGTATTGATCTCCATTTCGTGATGACGTCGAAGCGAAACCAGTTTTCGAACGCCAGTCCCTTGTGGGGCGCCAATATAATAATTGGGTAAATTACCTGAGGAGAGTAGTACACCAATTGTTAGTAAGGGTAGTTTTAAGGGTTGAGTCAAAGGAGTTCCATGCAGTTGGGCATCAGTTGAGTAAGTACATGAAAAATAATACAATAGTAAATCAGGGATAAAACTAAGGTAAATATAATATCATAAATAGGGATATTATATTACATGGTACGGGGAATACTAAAAGGCGAACGTTAGAAAAAGGGGAACTGTTAATAAGGGGGTTATTCAGAAAAGTTGATATTAATCCCGAGTTTTCGTATAAATTGAAACATTATTTTACCTGAAAGTTTGTCATTTCCTTGTAAGTCATGCTGTTTTTGAAAAGTTGAGAGAAACGAGTGAGTCAGCTTGGCTGTAATGTCAAAAGTCAAGTTGAGAGAAAGGTGACCTTAATTGTTTACAATTAACAATTGTAAATAACATCGACAAGCTAGAAAGAGATTGTGGGTAGATTTTTAATTTTAGCTGAATATTTCTTTAAAAAAAACATGTTCAGTTGAGTCTGAATATTTTTAGGTAATGAGCAAAGAGCAGTCGACAAATTCAAACATCAGTCCTTTACAAGAACAAGTGAATGAGGAAGAATACGCTTCGACCGATGACTCGCCAGAACACAATTACAACCTCCGACCAGACCACATTTCCCAAATAGGTTCCAGGAGAAGCACCGACTCCGGAGATTCTAGTAACACCAGCAGAGAACACGACTTAAAACCGAACGGAACCGACTCTTCTACAACATCACACAGCACTGTAGCGTCAAGTAAAGGCTCGGAACGAGCGTCTAGAAACTCGACAAACTTCTACTCCACAAAGGACGAAAAATCGACAGAAACAACTGACATGCCACGTGACCAAAGTGGTGAAAAGAATAAGAAACCAGGTACAGGTATTGGTAATGAGGGCTCGATGGTTACATACAAAAGTCTGGGGCCCAAGGAGGGCGCGACGGGTGGTATTAGTAGGGGTACTAGTCATGACAGAGACAACAATGGAAAAACTGTTTCCGAGCGCAGCTCCATCAATTTATCATCGTTCACTTTCAGCTCGAAAGAAACGACAATTTCCTCGGCGTCTTCGTCGACCACTTCCTAATACACATTGATTATCACTTTCGGTAATTTTTAAATCTTATTTTCAGTTTAGATTAATTTTGAAACAAAAAAAGCATTAAAGAGATTATGTAAAAGGAGTTCCATTTCTTATGAGTTCTTGTCGTTTAAATGTAATGGTTGTGCAGATGTAGATGATTTCAATCAATTGATGCTATTTAACAAAATCAACCGGTGCAATTCAACAATTAAAATTTAACTACTCATTTTTCAATTTGGGTGCCAATTGAATTTCAGTATCATCACGGAGCTCGACAAAGATTGTCGATTTTCCCGATCACTATTTTGCTCATCTACCCAAGATCTGCTAACTATAGAATGTCTCTTTCGTCTATCTGCGTATCAGAAAAACAACAGTAAATTCAACAAAAAACACTTCCAGTAAATTCATTCGTAACGAAAGTTCGCCAGCTAAAAAAAAACTTTAGCCTCTTTTTCGAAAATTCCAGTCCCAAAAAGATCAAAAATTAACGGAAACAAAGTAAATTCATACATAATTGTTAAGCAGTTGATCAAATAAAGTGCCTATTAGTTTTGAAATCAATTGCAGAGAAAATGACCCAAAATTGGGATTGAATTACTTCAAAAGTCAAAGAAAGTCAAAAGTAGGACCTAGTCAACAAATGAATTATAAAAGATTTAATAGTCACGTGAACAAGAGCCTGACGGTAAAAAATTAGGGTTTTAAGTCCTATCTGTGTATATAACACGTATTTTTCATATGAAGCATTTAATTTAGAAGCCAGCCTGATATCAGAAGATTGTTATATGATGGTTTATAAATATACATCTTGTAACATGCACAGTTCAACCTTCGTCTTTGCTTCAATTTTATATGGAAAAAAAGACTGGCAATTTTTAGGCAATGTGTTTTTTTTGCTCAGACCAATTTCGGCTTTTTAAAAGGGCGTTTGTTAGATAATTGTTTTTCACATATAGAAGATAAACAAGAAATTGATTTCAATTTTAAAACGTCGTTCAAAGGTGATCATTTGCCCTGAAACTAGAGAGATTCCGAAATTCAGAGGCAGTGAAAAAAATCCGGCTCAAAAATTGGTCCAAACTGAATTGAAGCACAACAAGATTGCTTGTATCAGGGCGAAACCTTGAATGTTCCGACTGCTTTTTGAGGTCTATGGAGCAATAATAACATGAAAAAGTTGAATATAAAAAATAAATTGATTTTTTTTAACATTTGAGATTGCTTGTGTGAAAATCATCGCCCCATATGCCATATAAAGTACAACATGATACATTTCGCCCCTAGTACTAAGCCACTTATGGCAAATAAGCTTACTTCAGCCACTTTCTAACATGGATTAAATCTCCGCTTACGCGTCAATAGCGCGAAATATATAGCGCGTTAATTGTCCCAAATTGGTCAAAATGTCAATCTTTAAACCTCTATAACATTATGGAAAAAAATCACAGGTAAATATTTTTTCAAATATAAGCTCAGGGCAACAATACCTTTCGAACGATAAAAAAAATAGTCAAAAATTGCTAATTAAAAAGTCGAAATTTGTCTGCTGAAGAAAAAAACCCAACCCGAGCGCAAATATTCCATTACTTTAGTTACAAAACTCGGAACAAGTCTGCTCGTACTGTGTCTTAATTCATATCAAATAGTTTTAAGAAAAAAAAATATTGAAAACCTATAAATTTTTGACAATATCAAATTAATACGACCAATTAGCTAGCCTCAATTCAACTTGGAACGATTTTGTTGTGCGGGATAGTTCGCCACGAATAAATAGTCCGCGTTGGGCTCTCAGCATTATGTATAAATTTTTCAAAACGCATATTTTAGTCAAGAACATGGAAAGTTTGGCAATTTTCAAACCCCCAGAATTTTACAAAAAAAATCTGAAGTAAAATATCTTTTTACATTTGAACTCACGAAGTCGATAACTTCAATGGGGTATAATTTTTTTGTTGAAAATTATTATTTTGACCGTTAAAAATTGACTGAATAACAAAAATCGTCGCCGAGCATAAAATCGGAACAAACAATAATCTATACCATTAATTAATTCAAAAAAGGCTAAATATTTTTCGTCAAATTCACTTAAAAAATCTTTTTCTTCAGTTTTCCGGTTTCTCCGAACTTCTGGCTTTCTTTTAAAACGTATCAAGTGCGTCTTTAAAATGGAGGCTTACAATTGATGCAGTAAATTTGTTAGTAAATGCAAACAGCATCCATTTTTACACTGTGTTTGATGTAAGCGTTAGATCTTTTAAAAAAATATATTTTTGAATCAAAATTGTCAACCTTAGAGGACAGCTGCGCCATTCACGGCTTTAATTGGGTACCAGCAGCCTTGATTTATTGAAAACTTGCTGCAAATTGCAGAGATAATCAAAAAAAATTTGCTGGGATTTGACAGTAAGCTCGTAAAATCTAAATTTTTAAAATAAAATATCTTCCAGTATGTGTATTTTTTCATATATAGTTTAGGAATTAGTTAAATATAGTTAAAATGAAATGTTCCTCAAGTAAAGTTTGGAATTTTTTATCAATGTCTAAGTTGAGACTTAAAAGAATTTTTCCACCATTGAGTGCTGAAAAATACTCCAGCTAAAGTACGGGACTCAAAAAATTGGATATAAAAAAACGTCCTATTTTTATTTCTTTTTTTTTCGGTTTTAAACAGCACGCAAAAGTTTTTTTTAATGTAAGAAAAATCCCGAACTATACCACAAAGTATTTGGTGAATTGAATGTAAATTTTTTGAGCAGAGCTAAAACGGGTGTGGATTGATAGAGCACTCTATCAGCCTTACCCTTATTTTTTATGTAATACTTTGATACTAAAACAAAAAGGCATGAAAGAATTTTCATTGAAACAAACCAGACATTGACAAAAAAAAATTAAATTTTCAGACAATTAAGTTTTTATTTTATTTTGACTCCTTCCTTTTTCAATTTCAAATGATATAAGAAAACATGAAAAAAATCATGGATGAAAATGCTCAATTAAAAATGGAAGAAAATGTTCACGTTTTTTTTTAATATTCTGCCGGAAGAAATTGAACCTGGGATTAGGCCCACTTTCATTTGCAGCTTCCTAGTTTTGGGAGACAGATAGTTAGAACGCTTCTTCACATTGGAAAATCGAAGAAAGTCAATGAAGTTCAACGGCAATGTACCCCCTTGTTTGAACGTACCAAAATACGAGATGGAAAATGAAATTATAGTAAGCCAAATAGGTATCAGTTGTGGTGAAATCGGGTGAAAGCGGAACCAACAGAGTGAAAAAGGACCACAAAGAAATTTTGCTTCAAACTCGAAATTATGGAAACGGGGCAAACGGGGCAGAAGCAAACGGGGCATATAAAAACACAAAAAAGACCCTCTCACCCGCAAAAAAAAGCATTTTATATAAGAATTAGACAAATATGACTAAAATGAAATGTTCCTTATTTAAAGTTTGGAATTTTTTATTAAAGTCTAAGTTGATATGTAACAGAATTTATCCGCCATTGACTGCTAAAAAAAGAATGCGACTCAACAAATTGGATATAAAAAAAAACGTCCTATTTTATATCTTTTTTCCCCTATTTAAACCACACGTAAAAATTTGTATATTCATGAGAAAAAAAACAGCACACGAACCACAAAGTTTGCTGTGAATTGAAAGTAAATTTTTTGAGCAGAGTAAAAGAGGGTATGGATTGATAGAGCACTCTAGCAGCCTTATTCTTACTTTTTGTGTATTAATTTGATTACTCCTTCCTTTTTCATTTTGAAATGATATAAGAAAACATGAACAGTTGACAAACATTTATTAAAACAACGTTATGGCCTAAATTTTTTGTTAATTTTAAAATTTAATTAAATGATTTACGGAAGTTTGTAAAGAAGGTTTAGACAGCGTGAGTTATGAGATAGATTTTTCGATTTCTCATAACCTTTTTTTTAGAAAACCTAATTGTTTTTCTACCCAAAAAAATCAAACGTCGTCAAAAAAACTATAGGTTGGATCTTAAACACAAATTAAAAAACCCGGCTGCTAAAAACAGCTACAGCAAACAAATGTGTCTCAGCTCAAACAACGTAAAAGCGCCATCATTTTTTGTGAAATTTGATCAGAAAATCGAAAATCTCAGAAAAATTTAGAATTTTTTTTTCGATTTTTTGGAGCTCGTTTCTCGTTTGAAAGACTTTTTTTGATACCGCACTTGACATACCTTAAGCTTGTTTTAAAGGTATTTGAAATTGTTTTGAAAAGTAGGCCCACCTTACATCATTTTATTCTCCCGTATCTTTGATGTTCCGAGATTTATTCTCCCGTATCTTTGATGTTCCGAGATGTTCCGAGATGGTCGAAATATTAAAGATATGCTTTTCAAAAACGAAAGGTAAACTTTGCAAGCTGTGTTTATGCATAAAAAATTTTACTCAGAATAAACCGCCTTGAGTCGCTTTTTATGCCAATTTTTAAGCCATCACATCTCATCTTTGTTACTTCAAGATGCTTATTACCTGCTGACAACTATTATAGTAAAATTTTCGATAATTATACTGAGTGAAAAATAGTGCAATTTAACGATACAATTGTCTAATCATTTGTTTGTGGATTCCACAAACTGTTCTGGATTCCGCAAATACAGTTGCGGATTCCGCAAATTCGCCTATTTTTGGAGCGATTTTGAGCGGTACAATGATTTAGGTGTTTGTTTGTGGAATCCAAAACAGCATAGAAGATCAAAGAAAAGTAGCAATGTTGCGGATTCCGCGACATATCTGATTTTGGCCTGTTGCGGATTCCGCTTACAATGCACAGAACGCACAGTTTGGCCTCGTAATGTTTGGAAAAATTCGAAACCACAATTCGGAGTGTCAAACAGAGAAATAGTGATCAGCCACGCTCCGACCTGTAATGGCCGGAACCGAACCTTGATTGCCGCGCAAAAACTCTAAAAGTTTGAAGAAAAAAAGTTTAAATAATGGTACACATGAAAAAATATTCGAAATTTTTTCGAAATAAGACGTATGCGTAACAGACCGTCACATTTTCACCTTTCGTTATTTAATTACTTGTTTATTCAATATATTTGCTCCTGGAAATGTGACGCCATTACACGATTAAAAGATTTCAGCAATATCTCACAATTCTATATCCTAATTCTGATTTATTAACGTGTATGTTTGCCTTTCAGTGCTAACGTGGAATCCCCTTGTTTTAACCAAATGTCGCCAACCATCCAAATCATCATCCTCACCAAGTCAGATCACTTTGTATTCGGTGTATTCAGAGATGATGCAATAGACAAGTTGCGTTTTTATTATTACAAAACTAATTTAGATTTTATTTTAAAAAATTGCTCTGCGCTTCATCTCAAAAAAGCCAATTTTATATACTTAACAACTTGATAATGAGGTGAGCTAATTAAAAAATTTGGTAGCGATTTCCGTATAATAAAAGTTTTAAGACATTTTTTTGGTCAAAAATTTATTTAAAAAAGTGGATATCATTTTATAATGTAGATGAATCTAAAAAGAATTCAAAATTTATGGTATTTCAATTTATTGCTTCGTTTTTTCATGTCTAGATTTTTTCATGTCTAATTTTTGAAGTCTTTTAGTAAACCTGGAAGTTTTGAATTCTTGTTAGATGCTTCTACATTTTGAAATAAGATCAATTTTTGCATATTTTTGACCAACAATTTTATTGTAAGCTTCTATCATACGGAAAAAAAGAAGTGGAATTCATAATTAACTGATAAACTTATTTATTCAGGTCTAAAATCCTGCTGGCATCTCTTTTTCTCCTCTTTGTGGCCATCCGTCCTTCTGAATGTGTGAAGAAGAGAAGCAAGATCCAAAGAGTGAAGAAGTTTGACCCAGCTGAGAGAATTGTGGAGCTGAAGGAAGACCGCATGTTCAAAGCAGAGACTCTAAAAGCGCCTCTAGGTAATTTTCAGCCTTGTAAAGCTTAAGGAAACTCTTAGACATTGTAGCATACCTTGAACTTTAAGCCCATGCAAAATTGCAAAACTCCTATAGTTTCCTTATCGCCATTTAGTAATTGTAGTTGTTGTAACATTCATTTTACGGACTTGTTATTCAATTCTGTTTGTTCAATTGTGAGGATTGAAACTTCAAAATAAGCTCATTAAAACTCATTGTTTCAGGGTGAAACTTGTTTTTTTCAGGGTTTCTTCGTGAACTTATAATCTGTAACTTTATTTTGCAAGCCAACAATTAAAAAAAAACCAGAATTATTTTAAATGAAATAGTTCACGTACATTAATTTCGACCACGGTTATCACATCAATACTTTAAATCAGCGTGACGAAAAAAATAGTGTTTTTTTTCAATTTTTTAGGAGGGAAAAAAGAGTAGAAGATGCTTTGCTTGCTTAACCTTCCTTTTTTTTATGATTGTTTTGAGCAAAATTGCTATTGTTAGAAATACATTACAAGTCAAAACTGTATACTTTGTGATATGTTAGCGGATTCGGCAACAGGCCAAAAATCGCAGCCGAAATTCGGCAACGAGTTTTGTTGCCAAATCAAAAGCATTGCTAGTTGTTTCGACTTTCGAAGAAAGGTACGAAATATTTACGCTCAAGAAGGTTTTTTCTCCAAGACAAATTTCGAATTGTTAACTAGCAACTTTTGAAGTAATTTTTATATCAGCCGAAAAACTTTTTTGTCATGAGCTGAAAAAATAATAATCACTATCACATGTGCCCAAATTTCATAACAAAATGGGTGTTTAAGATTGCCAATTTTAGATAATTACGCGCAATCTTATTGTGCTATTAACGCGTCAGAGAAGATTTAATCCGTCTGAAAAATCATTCCAAATTAAATTGAGGCATGCTGTTTGGTCTATTTATTACTCTGATATATGCGATATACCCTTTTGTATACCCTATTGTACTTTACAGAATTTGGTTATGGTTTTTAAAAAAAAAATAGAGTTTTTTTTATTATTTTTGAAAGTTTCTGATTTTTTTTCAAAGCAAACACTACTCAATTAAATTTAAAGGACAGTTGGAACATTCAGGTCTTCGCCCTGATACGAGCAGTTTTGTTTTCTTTAATTTATTGTTACGACTTTCGATACGAAAGTAAAGAAATATTTGTGCTCGGGGTGGGTTTTTTTTCTTCAGACAAATTTCGACTTTTTAACTAGCTATTTTTGACGGAATTTTTTTAAACATTCGAATGGTTATGTTCTTCTGAGCTTGAATTTGAAAAGATAATTTAGCTGTGATTATTTTTCGTAAAGTTATGGGGGTTTAAGGATTGCCATTTTGGCCAATTTGGGACAATTAACGCGCGCATATATTTCGCGCTACTAACGCGTAAGCGGAGATTTAATCCGTCTTAGAAATTGTTCCAAGTTGGTTGAAAGAAGCTTATTTGTAAAAATTGATTTTTATAAGGAACGAAAACTATTCTTTTGTACTTTATATGGCGTGTGGGAGGATGATTCTCATAGAAAAAATTCCAAAATTTAGAAATTTTTGTTCATTTTATATTTTACACTTAGTATGTTAATGATATTTATGTTATTACTGCTCCAATAAACTTAAAAGGCAGTCGTAAAAATTAGAGCTCAGCCCTGATACGAGCAGTCTTGTTATTCCGATCGACTTTCGATACGAAAGTAACGGAATACTTGCGCTCGGGGTGGGTTTTTTTTCTTCAGACAAATTTCGACTTTCTAACTAGCCATTTTTGACGGAATTTTTTAACATCATTCGAAGGGTTTTTTTCCTGAGCTTAAAATTGAAAAGATTTTTCACCTGTGGTTATTTTTCAAAAAAAAATTATGGGGGTTTAAATATTGCCATATTGGCCAATTTGGGACAATTAACGCGCGCATATATTTCGCGCTACTAACGCGTAATCCGAGATTTAATCCGTCTTAGAAATTGTTCCAAATTGGCTGAAAAAAAGTTTCTTTGTAAGAATTGTTTGTTACAAGGAACTAAATTTCTTCTTTTGTAATTTATAAGGCGTGTGGGTGGATGATTCTCATAGAAAAAATTCCAAATTTAGAATTTTTTTTCATTTTATTTTTTACACATAGTATGTTAATGATATTTTTGTTATTACTGCTCCGTAAAACTTAAAAGGCAGTCATAAAAATTAGGGCTCAGCCCTGATACGAGCAGTCTTGTTGTTCCGATCGACTTTGGATACGAAAGTAACGGAATATTTGTGCTCGGGTGGGTTTTTTTTCTTCAGACAAATTTCGACTTTCTAACTAGCCATTTTGACGGAATTTTTTTAATATCATTCGAAAAGTATTTTTGTCCTGAGCTTAAATTTGAAAAGATATTTCACCTGTGATTATTTTTCGTAAAATTATGGGGGTTTAAATATTGCCATTTTGGCCAATTTGGGACAATTAACGCGCGCATATATTTTGCGCTACTAACGCGTAAGCGGAGATTTAATCCGCCTTAGAAATTATTCCAAGTTGGTTGAAAGAAGCTTATTTTTAAGAATTGATTTGTTACAAGGAACGAAGTCTATTCTTTTTCACTTTATATGGCGTGTGGCGGGATGATTTCTTAAAAAAATTTCAAATTTTAGATTTTTTTTTTCATTTTATTTTATTACATTTAATTTTTTTTGTTACTACTGCTCCATAAACCTTAAAAGCAGTCGGAACATTCAGGGCGTCGCCCTGATACGAGCAGTGTTGTTTAGATTTCATGAACAAATAGCTTAAACACTATCCCTCAAAGTTGCTTCAAAATTCATCAAATACATTAATTTAGTTAGAATGCTTAAGCCATAAGTAAGGTTAAAACTTTTTATGACAATGTCTTTTGTTGCGAAAACGTTTGACATAATTCATTGATATTTTTTTGTTCAGAGTTAAAATTATTCATTGGAAAGCTTCAGTTTAATAGGTAAATTAGGCAGTTTTAGGTTTGAATGAAATCATCCATTTTGGGCAATCAACGGTAAATCCAGGTTTCATAGAACCAATTAATTAACCTTGAGGTATTTCGTTCGAAATTACCAATCAATTAACCTCAACATAATGATTGTGGACTTAATTTAAAAAATCTTTGAACGAGCCCGGCAAAAAAAGTATTCATTCTTTTTGGGCTACCAGTGATAAACCCAGGTTTCAAAGAACCAATCAATAAATTCAATAAATAATAAACCTGAATCTAATTTATGTAAAAATCTCCGATAGACCTCATATCTCCAGAGGCGTTAAATTCACAAAAAAAGAACAGCATAAAAACCTGTTGCTGTGCAAGAAACACATAATGTTTCAACAACAGTGGCTTGAATCAAGCAATTAAACATTATCCTGAATTTTTTGAAAAAAAAAATCAAATTTTACTTGATTTGTTTTTTTTTGTTAAGTTTTTGTTGATTTCGTCTTCTGTGGCAGGGTCGGATCCAGTATTCATATCAAACAGGGGCGGATTTGGGGCGGGCGGGGGGCGGACGCCTTTTCCTTCTCAGGGATTCGCCTCCCTACCGACCCAAAGGGTCCCCCCTTTGTACTATTTTGAGATATCCATATTTGGTGACGGGCCGAAAATTTTTTCTAAACGCGCCTTCGGCGCCAATAAATACTTACTTTGAGGGGGGAGCGCGCGCCAAAAAAAAACGCTATTTTTTGGTGAAAATTTTCCAAAAAGTTGCCTAAGAACATTTTTTGGCCTGTTTTGCAAAATTTTGCCTGCGGCGCTGAAAATTTTACCAAAACAGGGACTTTTTACTGCTTTGGGAGAGCTCGGAAAATCAATTCCGGCGACCTAAAAAAAGTCGACAAAATTTTCGAAAATTTTTTTTGCAAATCCGCCAACCCCCCTTTCCCCTCGAGAAAATCCTAGATCCGCCCCTGATATCAAATTTAATCTATCGATACTATACCCCAGCATTTTTGTTGCTGGCCTCCACAAAAGTCTCGCACAACTCTGCATGGCGCACTTAGTATTTTATCTGAACCCAAAAACTTAAAAAATTGTGAACAGTTTGAATCACAGTTGATAGTGCATAAATTTTTATCAATTATCTTCCCCGTAAACTACTTTGGTTTTGAATGAAAAACATTCCTTTAGCCAAATTTGTTTCTCACAAGCATGAGTATAAACATTTGTATTAGAACCCGAAATTTGAAAACTTCAACATTAATTAAACGAAATTCGTAACTCAAGCTTTTTGGTTTAATATTTGTAATTAAATGTTGAGGGAAAATGAGACTTTTCAAAAAAAAATTGTTTCTGAACTCGTTTCCAAAAAACATTGACAGTTTTCAATATCTGCAGCTATGTTATATCCTTTATTAAATCGTATCTTCATCTTTTAGTGGTGGCCTATTTCTACACGACCAAATGTCTCGGCT